TCTCCCTCTCTCTCTTTCTCTCGCCATCTCCACCGACCTGAAAAGTCCTGCCATGCTGGGTTTGCGTAGACCGTCAGAATGCCCACACATGTACGACATCTATAGTCGGGATTCGCGCAGTGGCGATTACATTGGGTTCAGTCGCAGCGAACGAGCAGTGTCGTGTGATCCAACAGGGACTTCTCTCCGTGACTTCGATGTGTGATAGGGAGTCTATGACGTTCGGGGCCATTTGATCGTGACGTTTGATTGGGTCGTGTGATGAAGGCGGAGATCGCCTCTATGTCGCACTGTCTCTCTCTCGCTATCTCTTTATCTCTCTTTCTGTCTATTATCTCGTTCGTTTCACTGCGCTTATTTGTGTCGTTTGCACAAAGTTTGCGAACATAACTTACAAGCACAGACAAACGAACGAGACAGAACCAACATTGTCGTGTTCCACCACCATCGTCGTCAGTTTTCTATCAGTGCCTCTATGTCGTTCGTCTTTTCTATTGTCGTGTTCCACCACCATTGGCGACCACTCGCCCCGATCATATGGCACACTCACACGTCCACGTGGCAGGTCTTGAACAAGCGGGGGCTCGCTGATGGATGCGGGGCTCTATGCGGCAGCAGAATGTTGTCAAATAGATCCCCTCACCCATCAGCGTGGCCACGCATGATCACGACTTGACACGTGGACGTGTGTGTCCTCGTGTTGAACTACCATCTTCGTCCCCATCGTTAGTTTGTCTTCAGCGTCTCTATTTCGTTCGTCTTATGCRTTCGCCTGTTTCTTTCGCGAACGTACCTCGGGGTGCGTTTGCGGATCTCGTTCCATTGGCGACCACTCGCCCCGATCAGATGGCACAGTCAAACGTCCACGTGTCAGTTCCTGAACAAGCGTGTGCACGCTGACGGATGCGAGGCTCTATGCAGCAGCAGAAAGGATGCCAGGCTGCAATATAGCCCCGCACCCATCAGCGTGGCCACGCATGTTCAGGACATGACATGCGGACGTGTGAGTGTGCCATCTGATCGGGGCGAGATGAAGGAGTTTCAGGAGCAAGAATGCATGCATTTCATTGGCGATCACTCGCACCGATCAGATGGCACACTCAGACATCCACGTGTCACGTCCTGAACAAGCGTGGCCACGCTGATGGATGTGGGGCTCTATGAGACAAAGGGGCTCTATGCGGCAACAGAATGGATGCGAGGCTCCAATATAGCGCCGCGCCCATCAGCGTGGCCACGCATGTTCAGGACATGACATGCAGACATGTGAGTGTGCCATCTGATCGGGGCGAGATGAAGGAGTTTCGGGAGCAAGAATGCATGCGTTTCATTAGCGATCACTCGCACCGATCAGATGGCACACTCAGACGTCCACGTGTCACGTCCTGAACATGCGTGGCCACGCTGATGGGCGCGGGGCTATATTGGAGCCTCGCATCCATTCTGCTGCCGCATAGAGCCCCTTTGTCGCATAAAGCCCCGCATCCATCAGCGTGCCCACGCTTGTTCAGGACGTGACATGTGGACGTCTGAGTGTGCCATCTGATCGGTGCGAGTGATCGCCAATGAATCGCATGTATTCTTGCTCCCGATACTCCTTCATCTCGCCCCGATCAGATGGCACACTCACACATCCGCATATCATATCCTGAACATGCGTGGCCACGCTGATGGGTGCGGGGCTATATTGGATTGGGCGAGATGGTTATGCCTGGTGAAAGAAAGACGAGCTAGAAACTTGTGCTGCGACTACAGCAAACGTGTCTGTTGTTTGGATTGGGCGAGCAACAACCAACTAAAACTCACGACGACGGCGATATCCCCCGTGATGACGCACAAATTATAATGACACACTACGGCAATCGCGGGGAGGTCCGGTGTGTGGTGGGGCGACAACAAAGCGAAGCGCCTCGGCCAAGTCGGATTAATCCAAACCACACCGGTGGCATTTTCGGATTTACCACATGGGCAGAAGGTATTGACGACGTCGCACGGTCTGATAAACTTGTATGTTGCGGCGCAGCCTGACGTGGTCGCACGTATCGGGACAGCCTCTGTCGAAATCGGATAAATCAGAGCCACACCCGTCTTAAACACTCAAGGACGAAGACAAACCGTGCGAAATTCGGTTGGACACGACGACAGCTGGGGAATAACGGAAGCTCGGATGGCTGGATGGGCGTCAACAGACCGTGGGGTCCATCCGCCGGTCCCTGTCTCGGATTAATCCGAGCCACATTTGCGAAGTTCAGGTTCAACCGAACCAAACCTCCGGCAGGATAGGGTTAACCCAGTGCTCGCAGGTCGGTGACGAAAACACGTGYTSTAGATGACCTCTTGTGGACGACCGTCTCTGGACCTCGTTGTTCGAATTCGTTTGCATCCGAGTCACAACCGTTACCGACTCAGAAGGACAAGAAAACTCGAGTTCCGTACGGACCAACAGGGGGAGGTCCACACCGCTTTGGAGCTCGGATTCATCCGAACTACAACGGCGGACTTTACAATCCACTTGTCGACTTCGGATGACAACGTATTCGTCTTCGTCTGCCGTATCAGCGTTCTAGGGCCTTCTTGCGAGGTGTTGCTTTTCCCGGTGCAGGTGCCTATGCGACATCGCTTTTTCGACTGCGCCTGCTTCGGATGTATCCGATCTGTCCCACGGTCTTCGTTTTCGACCATTCATTCTCTTAAGGGCAGTGTGACAAGGATGGCTTTCGATGCCTCGGATTCATCCGAAACGTGCAGGCTTGTGGACCACTGTCGGCTAACTATGACTGAACTTCGTTCTTTTGGAGTCTGGGTGACCGATAACAGAATACGTGTTGTGGGTCGTGGTTGATGTTGGGACGTGTTGACTGTTCTCAGTGAATGTGGGTTCATTTCCTCCGTGTGTTTCAGGGAATGGCTTCACACGGACGAGGCCGCTCCGCTAGTGCTTCCGCCTTGCATGGAGAGGAGCGTCGAGGGACAACGTCGTCGCCGGCAAGGGAAACGAGTCGGGGAGTTGGAGGTGGGGAGGAAGAACGACGTGCTCAAAACTTGTGGTGCGACTACAGCAAACGCGTCTGGTATTTGGACTGGGCGAGCCAGGACAGCTCCGACCCGTTGCAACCACCGTGCGGGGCGCTCTTGTTCGTCGCCGTTCGCGCCGACAGAACGCGTCTCGCAGGGTCCATCGTCCAGTGGGTCGATGATGGCAAATACAATTTCAAGTTAACTTTGAAGAAGCATTACAAAAGTGATGGTTCTGTCGACGGCATCGCAAAGGGATGCAAGGTTGCCGGGAGAATGTTCGGCGGGTACGGCCATCGTGCGATGTCTTTGCCTCACTTTCTCCCGCTAGCGCCGGGGCACGACGAGGCGGTTCACGTCACTGACTTCCTCAAGGTCTAGGCGAAATCTGGTACCTCTGTCAGTGTCGTGGACATCGGACCTGGAACATCGATCAGTGGTCCTGTTGGGTTCGCGGGAGAAGAGTGCTCTGAAAGGGAGATGGGAAGTCAGGGTGGCCTGCCAGCTACACCTCCTGATCAAGAGGTGGGCATGTCAGACGACTCGGAGGACGACCATCCGCGTGCTCATTTGAAACCGGGCTTGCATGTATCTCGCCGCCACGGTTTGCTTGGGGAGTCGACGTCACATGGAGGCGGCGATGGCGAACGGTTGGGACATGGCTCAGAATCGACGACTCCTCGTGGTCTGGTCGAAAGGATCGGTTCGTTCGTTCGTGGCATGCAGGTGGCCGAGGTTTCGCCTGGAGATCGAGCGGGTAGCACCGGGGGAACTGCAGACGGAGTTGAGCCAGGAACGAGAAGCAAGTGGGAACGTCGCCGGTGAGGAGGAGGTGTCCGAGCAAGGGCTGTTCCGTAAAAGATCGGCTGAAAAGACTCAGTCGGGAGGCAAGCGCAACTTGCCGGATGAGAAAGAGCGAGAGGGACTAGGTGCTCTGAAAAGGCAGAGAAAGGTAGGAGGGAGTGCTCGGACGCCAATAACACGAGAGGGCGGTTCCGTTGAGAAGAGGAAAAGGGTTGGAGGTGGGGATGAAACGCCAAAAGACTCGTCGATACAGCGAAGAACCAGTGAGTCTTCCGGGAAAAGGGCTTAATCATCGAGGGGGAAGAAAGCAGACGAGGGCGACAGCGGGGAGGGGGATGACGACGTGGAGATTAACCTCAACGCCTTTAACCTCGACAATGCGTTCTTCCTCGAGATGCAGACAGGGGTGCAGAAGGACGTCATGTTGCACATCCATCCTGAAAGAATATTAGTTATTTCAGACTGGGAAGACGCGTACAACCACCGATCCTTGGATGAGTTCCTCGTTGATACCATCGTGTCGGCTATGATCGACTGCTACGAACGTAAAGACATGAGATACACGAAGCCAATTTTCGTTTTCGCTCCAATTGTCGCGCCTCCAGAGAACGGCGAGCCTGCTGTGCGCGTGCTGCCTGCTGACTTCGACAACTCACACCCGGAGAAATACTGGTATTATCCTGTGTGTGGACAGCATAACGCGAGGGCGGCGATGATGGTGAAAGACCATCCCGTGTTTGATTACTAGTAATTTACTACCACTTATTTAAACTGCCGTTCAGACCGATCTACTTCCCTGACGACGAGTTCGACGGCTACGCCCATGTCAGCTGCGAAGACAACATGAAAGACAAGAAGAATCCACCGCGCTTGCAGGTTTTGTCTATGCGGGACATTCGCAATATCTGGAAAATTAAGGGCAAACCGCGTG